ACTTAAAATACAATACTTCTAAACTAGAAATTTCTGGACATTACTAAAGCTGACTACAGAGATTTTTTTTCCTTTATCTTATATATTGTATTGGGAAATACAATGTAAAGAGACAGAAAAGAGAAAAGCAGAGCAACAATGCCACCTACAGGCAAAAGTGAAAAGTGGAAGACCTTGGCTACATGAGAATGAAAAGATAATAAGGCTATTGTTTTCAGCAGAAATTCAAGTCCAGAAAACACACAGATGACTGATTCAGCAGGATCATTAACTTCTTTATAAACATAATAATACGAGTAAAGTTTACAATACCATTTGTAGATTCTTTCATCGTAACATAAGCAAAAACACAAGCAGCAGCAGCGGTTCAGAGCAGATAACAGTTTCAGTTTCAATTCTCAGCAAAGCACACAGAGCCAAATCATACCCAGGCTGTCAGCTCTCATTGGCTGGTCTGTTGCCATGCTTACTCAATTTTTTTAAGGTAATGGAATAGGATAGGATAGGATAGGATAGAATAGAATAGAATAGAATAGAATAGAATAGAATAGAATAGAACTTTCTGACTTTGTTAACCATGTCTCTGCCAGTTAATGAATATACTCTGACAGCTATTTTATCTGAAGAAGAAAGATAAAGAGTGGAACACTGGAACTTTTGGTCTAAACAGTGTAGCTCTTGGAAATTAAGAAAAATAAACTAGACAACTGAGAACTGAATATTAAAAGCTTTCCCTTTCTCTTGGGTTACTTTTCTATTACTTTTCTATTTTTTCTGTGTAATTTGCTCTGAACTCTCCTTTTGGAAACGCAACAATTGAACTATAACTTTAACCTATGGTGGGTTACAAAAAATAAATATCCCAAAATGAAGAAGACAACGTCTGCACCATCTTCAGCATCTTCCTCTGCTACTTCTAGCCCTGCTGGACAGAGGACTTTGGACACTATGTTACAGCAAGAGAATGTCAATTTGATGCAAGCGGAGATAAAGGCAAGCTGTCCATGAGGATTTGAAAGAACAAATAGGGTGAGTAGAAGAGAAAGTAGGGAAAATAGAAGAAAAAGTTGAGAATTTTCAACAAATGATGGTGAAAAATGAAGAACGTATGCAAAAGGTAGAAGAGAGAGTAGACTTAACAGAAAAAAGGGTGGGAGAGCTTGATCATAGACTTACACTGGCCGACCAAAATAAAGAAAAAACAATAATCTCATTAGAAATGGACCGGACAGATTACTATCTGAGATTCCAGAATATGGAGGAAGAAAAAAAAATCTAGCAGAGATAATGGCAGACATGCTGGCAGGGGCCTTGGAGGTGACTAAAGAAAAAATGTTGACTGATATTGATGAAATATTTAGAGTACATACTAGATATGTGATGAGAAACAAATTGCCTAGGGAGGTCCATGTGAGATTCACTTAAAAAAGCCATAAAAACAGAAATCCTGCAGAGAGCGAGAGATGAGCCCTTGCAATATAAAGTTAAATGAATAACAGTTTTAAAACAAATTCCAAGAAGAGTTAGAGATTTAAGAAATGAATACCAGTTTTTGACAAAGTGTTTTAAAAAGTCGAGTTTCAGATGGTTGACACCAGAGGGAATACTAGTGACATGGCAGGAACAAAGACATAGACTAGATTCAATAGAAAAAGTGGAACAATTTTATGATCATTATTTTAGCATGCAAGAGGAAGAGAGAGTCAGAGAGGAAGAAGGAATCAGACATCAAGAGGATGCTGCAGAGGAGAGGGACAGGCAACAAAAAGAAGAGGAAAGAGATCGGGAGGAAAGAACAATAAAAGAAGGAACAAAACCAAAAGAACCAAAAGAGACAAGAGTGACAAGAGCAACAAATAAATAAATAAAGCCATGGAGGAAGAAATAAAGTTAATATCAATTAATATAAATGGACTGGATTTGGCAATAAAAAAGAAAAAGAAGTTTAATAAATTAGAAAAATTAAAATTGGATATAATTTGTTTACAAGAGGTTCATATTAAAAAACAGCATAGCAAAGTATTGGACTATCCTAAAATTGGGAAATTATACACCTCCCTTCCAAAACAAAGCAAAAGAGGAGTAGCACTCTATATTAAAGAGACAATAAGTGCAAAACAAATCTTCATGGATGAAGAAGGGAGGGTTTTGATGGTGGAAATAATGATGAATTACAGATACTTTTAGTTGCAATATATGCACCAAATAATAATCAAGAGGATTTCTATGATAAACTTCACAAGAAAATAACAGAACTGGAATATGAAAATATACGTATCCTAGGAAACTTCAATGCAATAGTAGACATGGAATTGGACTATAAAACTAAAAAATAATAAACAAAAAATCCAGGAAAACTTTACCAGTATCCTTTTTAAAAATGATGGAAGAATTAGCCATTCAGGACGCTTGGCGAGAAATACATTCCAAGAACAACCAATACACATTTTATTCAAACAGACAACTGTCTTGGTCCAGAATTGATATAATGTGGACATCAACAGAATTAATATCTAACATTCAAGAAATAAGTATTGAAACAAGTATTTGGGCAGACCATAATCCGATAAAAGTTATATGGAAGGGACAAAAAAAGAGGCCAAGGTGGACAATGAATGATTCAATATTGAAAGAAAAGGAATTTATCCAATTTATGGAAAGAGAAATGGACTTTTTCTTCAAAGAAAATAGAAAAGAAGAAACTTAACTATAAAATGTATGGGACACAGCAAAGGCATACATTAGAGCAGGGGTGGGCAAACATTTTGGCTCGGGGGCCGCATTGACTTTTAAAATTTGACAGACGGGCCAGGTCAGCACAAGATTTTTTGGGAATCGCCCCCCCCACCCTTCCCCCCCCTCTTCTCCTCCTTCCCCTCCCCTCGGAGGCCCCCTGAGTCAGGAGTTGCTACCGCCGGCACGGCTCTGCGCGGCTCCAGTCCCGCGTTGCCTCGGGAAGGGAAAGGCAAAAAGGAAGAGCCGCGGCGGTGCTTTGCAACAGGAGCAGCAGCACCGGAGGCTCAGGCTCAGCGGCTCCTGGTTTTGCCTTTTCCTTCCCAAGGCAATGCGGGACTGGAGCCACACGGAGCTCCGCCGGCGGTAGCAACTCCTGACAGCCCCAGCCGGACACCTGAGCGGAGCCCGGGCGAAACTGCCTGTTGCTGCTGCGGAGCACCGCCGGGTCGCCTCCTCCAAGCAGCCTGCCCGCCCGCCGGGCTTACCCTCTGCTGCGCGGCTCGGGGCCAGGCGCGAGCGCCCGCGAGTTAAAAGGAAGCCGAAAGTTGCTGGGAAGTTGCTCGGGTGCTGGGAGCAGGCTTTTAAAGTGCCGCCCGAGCAAAGTTTAAGCAGCCCGCCCGCCCACCGGGCGGAATTCTTCCTGCTCCTCGACGGGAAGACGCTCCAGCCTGCAAACTTTGCCTTTGCAAAGTTTAAGCATGGAAGCCCCGGAAACCCAAGCAACTTCCCAGCAACTTTTGGCTTCCTTTTAACTCGCAGGCGCTCGTGCCTGGCGGAGGGGAAGCCCGGAGCCTCCTCCAAGCAGCCTGCCCGCCCGCCCGCCAGGCTTCCCTTCCGCCGCGCGGCTCGGGGCCAGGCGCGAGCGCCTGCGAGTTAAAAGGAAGCCGAAAGTTGCTGGGAAGTTGCTCGGGTGCTAGGAGCAGGCTTTTAAAGTGCCGCCCGAGCAAAGTTTAAGCCTGAAAGCCCTGGAAATCCGAGCAACTTCCCAGCAACTTTCAGCTTCGTTTTAACTCGTGGGCGCTCACGCCTCGCCCCGAGCCGCACAGCAGCCCGCTCCAAGCAGCCCGCCCCGCCCACCGGGCGGAACCCTTCCCGCTCCTTGGCGGGAAGACGCTCCAGCCTGCAAACTTTGCCTTTGCAAAGCCCTGGAAGCCCCAGAAAACCG